GGAGACACAAGCGGCAGGCATGCAGGGTGTGGAAGGAGAGCCAGCCAAGCCAGGTGTCACAGCTCACCTGCTGGACTGGCTGCACCATCTCTCCATGTCTGGGTCAAATGCATAACATATGGTTTCTAAGGCCCCTGAACCGCATGTTTAGGGGACAGTAAAGGAGAATTTGGGGGCAGAGTGCAGAGCAGTAGGAGATAGCATGGGGGCTAGATAAGGCCAGGTCACGGAGGACCCCCACCCCCTGCCCCAAACAGGAGTTCACATTTGATTTAGCATCATTTGTGGACCACGTGGAACTCTTGAGTCTGGGAAAAGAAACCCATGTGAGGAAATTTAACCCAGCCGTGGGATATGGCAAGGTAGTGTAGTGTGGGGGTGAACAGCAGGGTTTGTGGCCTGGTAGGCTTGGGGTTGAATCTTGGCTTCGTAGGAACACTTGTTAAATGTAGACTAGTTATGTAACCTTGCTGAGCCTTCTTATCCATGAGTGAGGAGTGTGGCTATATGTGCCTCCTGGGGGTGTTTGGATTAGCAAATGAGCTGATCATCATAAGACGGTTAGACAGGCTTGACATAGTAGGAGCTCAAAAAAGTGTGGTCATTATTAATTTTGGTTTTTAGTTGATTTAACAAATGTTTGTTAGACTCCTTCTGTGGTCCAGACATTGTTCTAAAAGCTGAGGACACGGCAGTGAATAAGGAAGCTCCTGTGGGGCTGTTGTTCTGGTGAGAGAACGACCTACCAGGTAATGACCAGGTAGGTACATGAGGGGCTGCCAGGTCATGGCAGAGGACGTGGAAGAAATAATGTATATGGAGGTAGAGTGGGGATTTGCAACCTTGACACCATGGACATTTTGGGCTGAATATTTCTTTGCTGTGAGGGGCCGTCCTGCGCATTGTAGGATGTTTAGCTGCATCTCTGACCTTACTCTCTAGATGCCAGTAGAACTCCTCAGTGTGACAACCAAAGATGTCTTCACATATTGTCCGATTGTCAGGGGCAGAGTCTCCCCTGGTTGAGAACCACTCAGAGAGTGAGCAAGGTGCTATTTGGGATAGTGTCATAGGGAAGACCTCTCTGATAAGGTGGCATTTGAGCAGAATTCTACATAAAGGGAAGTAGTCAGCCCTGAGACTGTCAGGGGCAAGGACACTCCAGAGGGGACAGCAGTTAGGGACCTTAGACCAGAGTGTGCTTGGCAAGAAACCACACAGAGGACAATGTGGCTGGAGCCAGGTGAGTGAGGGGGAGAGCAGCAGGAGATGATTTGAAGGGTAGCAGAGTCCTAAATCGTGGAGAGTCTTGTAAGTTGTTGTGAAAACTTTGGATTTTGTCCTAAGTGTGCTGAAATGTTACCAGAGGATTTTGACAGAGGACTGCCACAGTGTAACTTGTTTTAAAAGGACCCCTCTGGCCTCCAGGTGGAGAATAGGCTGGTGTGGAAAGGGAGAGGCAGCGCTGGAAGCAGAGAGACCAGTGGAGAGCTTTCATTGGTTTAAAGCTAGAACTTAGAGTTTGGACTAGGGCGATAGTGGTTCTGTGGGGTTTGGTCCTCTGGGAGGGTGATGCCAAAACAGAGTTAGACACTGAAGAGCTTTATTGGGGTAACACCTGGGAATGATACAAGGGCGAAGGGGGAGGGGCTGGAAGAGGAGGTCTTCACACATCAACGCAGGTGTGACACCTGTGAAAGGAGAGCGGGAAGAAGAGGAGAATGAGGAGCTGTCAGTAAAGCTGGGTTTTCAAGAAGGGTGACATCAGCTGTCAGATGCTGCTTATGGATCAAGCAAGGTGTGAAGCCTGAGGATTGGCCATTGGGTTTAATGACCTGGGTCACCGATGACCTTGACAAAAGCACTTTTGTTGGAGTGGTGGAAACAAAAGTCTGAATGGAAAGCATTCAAGAGGCAGGAGAGCAAGCAGAGACACCATGTTGACAGCATTTTTGAGGAGTTTTTCTGTGAATGAAATGCACAAACACAGGGAGATAGTAGGAGTTGGAGTTGCTTTGTTTTTTAGGGTGGGAAATATGCATACTGTGTTCTTATGCTGCTGGAATGATCCATTCGGAAGAAAAATTGTTAGAGAAGAGGGGAAAATTATAGTTGCAAAGTTCCTTAAAGGTTAATGGGATTCATTAAGCACGTGGTGGTAAGACAGTTATAAGGACAGTTTATTCATACTGTATTAGTAATGGAGGAGGAAGGTAAATGGGTAACAGTATATGAAGGGAAGTGGATTTGGTGGTAAGAACATGGGAAGATCTCTTCTGCCTTTTTCTCAGTGAGATAAGAAGGAAAGTTATCCACAGCGAGGAGTGGTGGAGGTTTGAGGACAGAAGGATTGAAATAAACCTGGGATCACAACACACAGTTGCTTCTCATGGAAAATGCTCAGGTTATTTCGGTTAAAGGAAGTTCATCATCACAGATACTGTGTTTGCTTCACGTTATATCCTGACTGCACAGTTTCCGTGCATTACCTCATTTAGTTCTCAGAGCAGTCCTAAGAGACGTAAGTGCTACTGTTCTCTTTTTCCATTCAAGGAAGCTGCGAGGAACAAAGTGGATGACTCTCACAGTGGTGAACAGAAAAAAGCCAAGTGCAGAAGAATGCACAGAGTATAACACGTTTATATAAACCTGAAAACATGTAAAACAACAATACATTTTTTTAGGGATGCATAAATATGTAATAAAAAAAGAAAATGCATGGAAATGACAAACTCCTGGTCAGATTAGTGAGTACCTGAGAAGCAATGTGATTCTTTGAAGCAGGTTCACTCTGGGGAAAGAGGGGTTGGGGAGGGATGCAGGGTGTGTGTGCATGGGGTCGGTGATGGGTTTGCCTCACTGTGTTTCTTAAGGAGAAGGTGTACAGTTGTTTGTCATATTATTTTCATCTTATGTATGTCTGAAATATTAAATACATTGAATAAATGCTTAAAGGAGAAGACAGGAGGATAAAAGAACTTTGAGAATACAGAGTTTTGGAAACAGGTATGTGCCTCTCTCTGTTCTGTCTGTGCTAGACCAGGCACACTGCAAGTTTTTGACAGCAGCACTTTCAAATTGTCAGCTTCGTAAGTAGTTATTGACATCTGTGTAGGCTGCTCTGCACTGGAGACCTCTCTAGCACTCTCTGCCCCCCTCCCAGCACTCCTCTGTTCCACATGCCCAAAGGAATGTTTTGATTGGAATCATTTGTCTTGCTGACATTTTGCTACAAACCCTACTGAGTCAAATTAGGTTATGAAAAGATAGTGTATTATGAGTAAGTGGTGCTGCAGATGCCCAAAGTAGTTGCACTTGGTCAGACTCTGCCTAGTGTGTAAAAAGGGGCCTCCTTTCCTTCTGGTGGCTGAGCACCCAGGCTTCACCTGTGCCTCCTGAAATTCTCTTCTTGTTTCTGTTGCCATTTATGTGATGGGTTTCAGTGGCCTTGAGGTTTCATTCTGGCAGCCCTCAGCTTGCAGGGATCACACTTCCAAGGCTCAGCTCATGGTGTGGACCTTAACCTCCCCTCCCCTTCTTCACTCAAGGCCTGGGTGTAGGGCCTGACCTCAGTTTGGCCACCACAGCCCTCTGAGACCTCTCTCATCTTCAGCCCTCTCTTCATCTTCATCTTTCTACTGACATCCCACGCCCCCTCACCACACACACCAAAACCTCAGTCGGGAGCCTTGCCTCTTAGTTGGAGGGAGCAACAGATTGGTTACATAATTGCTGTTTGGAGGTATACTGGCAGGTTAGAATTTTTGGAATGATTTTTACATAGTTTTGTAGTTCGGTAATTTTCCAGAAGCATAAGAGTGGGCCAGGTGGGAGGTTTCCTCTGAGTCTTTTAGGATTCATCCCCATTCCTCTTTGCAAAGAGCCGGGGGCTGTGACAGGCTTCCTGTCACAGGGAGCATCCTAAAAGGTAAAGCAAAGGACTTTTTACCAAGGAAACACTGCAGCCCAGGCCCGGAGGCCTCTGGGGATGGACATGGTGTTTTAACCTGCTGCTTGCACAGCAGGCCACATAAAAGGAGGTTGAGCTCTCTGTGGCCGGCCGGGCTGTTTTCTGGCTGCAGGGCAGGCAGAGGAAGCTGGTAAATCCAGTGTTCACTTTGTTCTAGGCAGTTTGTCTTGGCTGGTCAACTCGGAGAAACCAAAGCACTTCAGCAATGCATATGGCTGACTAAATACAACAGCAAAAGTCCTTCTGCTCTGACAACCAAACCTGGTGCCCAGCATTGCACCAGGCTCTTGTGGTACTGTAATACTAGTCGTCTGAGATGGTGATGGCACCAGCAGGTCACTCCCAACCCGTGTTTCTTCACATTCGTATGATATACTGCCTCTCCTTTCTGCCACGTTGCCACTTACCACTGCCCCTGTTTCTCCATGAGCTAGATGTCTTTGAGTTAAATGAGTTTTATGTTCCTTCATCTAGGGTAAGGACAGCAGATAGGTTTCATCTCTGATCCATGAAAACTGGCTGCCTAGAGTTCTGGGTTGGTTGGGGTCCAGGGGCAAGTCTGAGCTCGGCAGGGAAGAGTGCTGACTGATTAGCAGCGCTGTGATAGGCAGCAGGAGCGGGCTTGTGGCACTGCTATCTACAGTCCTCATAAAAACGTTTAAAAAGTTAGGAAGCCTCTTAACACATCAAACTATAAATGGTGATTATCTGTAGATGGTTAGATTACAGGGGCCTTTAATGTTCTTTTGATAACATTCTGTGTTTTCTGTATTTTTGACAGTGAACATGTATTACCTTAATAAGTAAGAAAACACTCTTGGTGTTGTTTTGAAAAGACACATCTTACCTGAGTGAAACCAGTGATTTGGTTTCCAAAGTCAGTGCTCGACTCCGCTGCTGGGCTGCGTAGTTGCAGACACCTAGCCGGGGGCGTGGCGCACTCACTGCCTTTTCTTCCGTGTGCTCTGAAAAGTCCTTTAACCCTGAATGTGGGACTGGCTGACTGGCTTCTCATCTTCTAATGTGGCAGGTCGAGGAGGTGCATCTATCTATGGCAAGCAGTTTGAAGATGAACTTCATCCAGACTTGAAATTCACAGGTAAGTATATGATCTGGCTGGACTGGGTAGGAAGGGAGAGTAGATTTTAAAGATGTTATTTATTTTTAGAGAGAGGGGAAGGACGGGAGAAAGGGGAGGGGGGATGTTGATGTGAGAGAGAAACATTGATTGGTTTCCTCTTGTACATGCCCTGACCAGGGACCAGACCCACAGTCCAGGCATGTGCTGCTGACTGGGAATCAAATCTGTGACCTTTTGCTTTTCGGGATGATGCCCAACCAACTGAGCTACACTGGTCAGAGCAGGAGAGTAGATTTTAAAAGTTCATTCTTTTGGTTGTGATTCAAGGTGAAAGCCAGACATGGTGGCACAGTGCCATGTAGCTGCCCAGCTGCGGCGCCACAGAGAGCCTGGAGGATTAGCGAAAGTGGCGCCTCTCTCAGAGCTCTGAACGAATCAGAGTGCTGGTCTGAGTGTTGTAGACTCTACTTGTTGAATGTTGCTCTTATAAAATAACAATAGGAAAACAAAAGCCTCCTCAAAGAAGCAGGAAACCCTGATGGATTTTTTTTAGGGGAATATGGTCCAGTGATCAGTGAAGATCGTCATGGATGGAGGTGGGGTTGGGGGTGGGAGTAGGTGAAGACAAAGTAAGGTAGTCAGGGTGGTGTAGTTGTTGGGCTCTCTGCAAGGGCAGAGAGCCTGCCCTGAGGGGAGGTGGTCCGGGTAGGGTGGTTGATGATAGAGGCCAGAATGAAGACTGACTACTTTTCATCCCTAAAATGGTGCAGCAGCTCCAGATTAGAGCTGTCGGAGTTATTCATACTCTTTCTTCTCTTTCGTTTTCCCACCAGGGGCTGGAATTCTTGCAATGGCCAATGCAGGGCCAGATACCAATGGCAGTCAGTTCTTTGTGACCCTAGCTCCTACCCAGTGGCTTGATGGCAAACACACCATTTTTGGCCGTGTATGCCAGGGTATAGGAATGGTGAATCGAGTAGGAATGGTGGAAACAAACTCTCAGGACCGCCCTGTGGACGATGTGAAGATCATCAAGGCGTACCCTTCTGGGTAGTCTTGCCGCACTGAGGGGCATACCAGGTCTTGTGAGTTGGCCCAGCAAACCAGCTTCTCGATGACCTAAAATGACAAATAACTCTGAACTTTGATTTTGGCCTTGCAAATCATGGAGCCAAGGAGGCCTGGGGTCTTGGGTGAGTTAGAGATGAAAATGTCTGTCTGTGGCTCCCTGAATCTAGGCTGACAGAGCACTTGCAGAAATGCCTGTGCACGGTTACACACGGCTTGCTGCTCACTGCGGACCACCCACACTGCTCCTGCACGTGTGCGTCTGCTCTCGTGCACTTGCAAGAAAATGAAGCAAACTCGGTCATTTCTCAGTGTCCAGCCAAACTTCTTTCTGCAAAGATTTATATTCTGGCCTACACTGTAGGCTTTGGTGGCTGATGGCCACAGAATTCAAAACCAAGTAGTGTCTGTCAGCCTTCTGAACTCTGCACACCCTATTCCAGTCTCCTGCATTTGTTCTTCCTGGCGTGTCTGCATCTTCCTATATATTTTCCCTCTCAAAACCAGAACATCAACACTGCTGTTTCTGACACTTAGACATCCCACGCAAAGCCACGTTGGATTTTTGCCAAATGAAAAATACATCCAACAATCAAGTTTCTAAGAAGATGTCAAGTGGAGAATGATAATGTGTAATAATCAAGAAATGAATTTATTAAAGGAAGCAGAAGCATTGACCATTTTTTCCCCAGGAAGGAAGAGAAATCTGTAGTGAGCATAAAGACAGGCTGTGAATTCTTAAACAGACAAACAAACAGCATTTTCATAAAGGAAAAGTATCACTTAAGTTTTTCAAAACCTAAGACTAGAGAAACTAACAGATTTTATGTTAAGTTTTTTAAGAAAATCTTTCTGGTCTTTTTTTTACGGGGTAGGAGTGATGAGAGAAAGGAAGTTAATACCTATGTAATACATAGAAACTTCTGAAATAAAATGCCATTGGTTGAAATCTTTGCAGTGGTCTGATTTTAAGTGTTCGATGAGATTCTGTAAGCTGTTTTAACCTATGAACTATCTGGTAGTATCATCTGCAAGATTTCACATCATTTTAGGTTTGTGGATCTCCAGTGGACTTCCATTCAAAGACAAATCTGATTTTAAAAAGGCAGAACCAAAGAAAGAAGTTGTGATCTCGATTAGCACTTCTGAGCAAGGAGAAATTCCCTGTAGGTTAGCCAGGCAGGTATGCTGAGAGACCTAAACCATCCCTCAAACTTGCAAGAGATACACCTGCCTGTCCTCATGGGCTCAGAGGCAGTAGTATGTGTTGTGATGTTTTGCTTTCTTAAACTGGTAGCTTAAACATGTTTCCTTATCACTCCATGCATTTTGGAAATGGCAACTTACTCCATGGAATGACCAAACAAGGTTCTGTTCCCCAAGCGTTTCCCATGTTTAACTGTTCTCCATCCTTCTCTCTTTTCTCTCAGCAAAAAAGAAAACCCAACAACTAAACTATGTAAATGACTTTGTAACTTCTCATAGCTGGTTTGGGGGTGCAAAGTACTGTTCTGGGAAGTTAGAAATGCATTTCTTTAAGCCTGGGCTGGGCAGACATAATTGGAATGACACAGTGACACAGTCATCCAGGTACCTCCTAGAATCAGAACCCTGAAAATCCCGCTTTCACCTAGGTCAGCAGAGTGGGTCACACTCGCTGGTTCGAGAAGGTTGTGAGCGCACTCGGGAGGAGAGCGGCACCGGCGCAGGTCCTCGTTTCTGGGGGAGTGCACCAAACGTGCCCAGGTGATCTCACCCGTGAGCGTGAGTGGGACTGGTTTTCACAAAGGATGTGACCTCAAAGAGTGAAACTCGAATTGTTTCAAAATTTGTAAAGATGCTGCCAGTTAGCCAGAGATGTAGAAATTGTGTCTGTGTAAAGGGAACTTGTTTATAGGGAATCCTAGTTGATCCTTTTATCCTCTGAATATCAACACACCCTCTCAAGAGGTTAGCAGAAGTCTCATAAAAGCTGGGATGCTAGGTCACGAACTGCCCATGTTGGTCACATCTCAGGGCGAGGTGAGGGTGGAGCTTGAGAAGGCCAAGACGACTGTAACTTTGATGGAGATTAGTGGAGATAGTTTATGGGACTGCCAGCGCTAATCAAGGGATGGGAGAAATACAGCTTCAGTGGGAAGGCAGGAGATTCTAGACTTCTAGAGAAGGCGTTAAGTTGTGAGTGGACAAGCCAATGAAAGAAGCCTTTAAACAAGTGTCCCTCAGATGGGTAAGAAGTTTGGCACCCAGACCATAAAGTACATGGTGCCAAGGGCCCTAGCCCCGGGCTTCTCACACTTCACCACACAAAGGTCTCTGGGGAGTCTGCTGGAAAGCAGGTCCAGCTTCAGCATCCATCCGGAGATTCTGCATTTCTTGCAGCTCCCAGGAGTGGTGACGGCTGGTTCAGACACCACATTTTGGGTGGCGAGATCCTAGAGGTCATGTATGTCCAATGTGAAATTGGGGGGTGGTTCCTAAGAGCATGGGCCATTCAGGCCCAGGATGTGATCTTCCTCCTGCTAGACCAGGGGTGATCTTGGAAGAGTGGAGAGAACTCAAAGCCAGGATGAGCTTTAACTGTTTTTGGCTTTGGCTGCTAAGATTGGGCTCCCAGGACTAAGTGGCTTTTGTTCCCTTTCCACCTTAGTATACCGTGGGTGCCAGAGCAGATAAGGTGGTGCAGTTATTAAGCATCATAGAAAATGCAGGGGAGATACCAGCAATTATGACATTGAAGGACGAGGGCTCTGGAACCAGCCTGCCGGGGGTCAGATGCCAGCCTCTGCTTATCAGTAGTGATAGTTTTTTTTTTTTTTTTTTACTTTTTATATATTTTATTATTTTTTAAATTTTAATTGTTCAAGTAGAGTTTTCTGCCTTTTTTATTAATTATGCCATTACAGTTGTTCTATTTCCCCCTCCCTTCCCCTCCACCCTGCACACCCCCTCCCCTACCATTCCCCCCCTTTAGTTTATGACCATGTGTCTCAAGTTCTTTAGATTCTATATTTCCCCTACTATTCTTGCCCTCCCCCCTATCTATTTTCTACCTACCATCTATGCTACTTATTCTCTGTACTTTCTCCCCCCTTCTCCTTCTCCCACTCCCCTGTTGCCAACCCTCCATATGATCTTCATTTCTATGGTTCTGCTCCTGATCTAGCTGTCCTCTTAGTTTGCTTTTGTTTTAGGTGTGGTTCTTAATAACTGAGTTTGCTGTCCTTTCACTGTTCATCTTTTTTCTCTTCTTCTTCTTAGGTAAGTCCCTTTAACATTTCATATAATAAGGGCTTGGTGATGATGAACTCCTTGAATTTGATCTTATCTGAGAAGCTCTTTATCTGTCCTTCCATTCTAAATGAAAGCTTTACTGGATAGAGCAATCTTGGATGTATGTCTTTGGATTTCATGAGTTGCAATACTTCTTTCCATCCCCTTCTTGCCTGTAAGGTCTCTTTTGAGAAATCCGCTGACAGTCTGATGGGAACTCCTTTGTAGGTGACTGTCCCCTTATCTCTTGCAGCTTCTAGGATTCTCTCCTTCATTTTAATCTTGGCTAATGTAATGATGTGCCTCGGTGTGTTCCTTCTTGGGTCCAACTTCTTTGGGACTCTCTGAGCTTCCTGGATTTCCTGGAAGTCTATTTCCTTTGCCAGATTGGGGAAATTCTCCTTTATTATTTGTTCAAATAAGTTCTCCACTCGTGGCTGTTCCTCTTCCCCTTCTGGCACCCCTATAATTCGGATGTTGGAGCATTTAAAGATGTCCTGGAGGTTCCTGAGCCTCTCCTCATTTTTTTGGATTCTTGTTTCTTCATCCTTTTCTGTTTGGTCCTTTTTTTCCTCTTTCTGGTCCACTCCTTTGATTTGAATCCCAGTTTCCTTTCCATTACTATTGGTTTCCTATGCATTTCCATTCATTTCTATTAGTTTAGCCTTCATATGTTCCTCTAATTTGTGGCTAAAATCAACCTGTTCCGTGAGCATCCTGATCACCAGTGTTTTGAACTGTGCATCTGAAAGTTTGGCTATTTCTTCATTGCTTAGATTTATCGGCTCTGGGGCTCTGAGATGTTCTTGAGCCATGTTTTGATCTGTTCATGCCTGTTACATATGAGGAACGGAGCCTTAGGTGTTCACCAGGGCAGGGCCACCCAGGTCGCTGGTTTGTGACACTGTATGTGGGGGCCGGGTCAGAGAGGGACAATGGCGGTTCCCTCTGCCACTTCCTGCCACTGGGGCCTGCCGTGTCCATCTCACTGCTGGCTTCTTCACCAGTTTATCTGCGCGCGAATGTGTGACCGCAATGAGCCCTCAGTGGGCCCGCCCGCTTCTCCACACCTGGGATCCGCCCATGGCTGCTGGCGCACTTGGGTTGCGTGCCTGGGTCAGTCCGGTGGATCTTTCCTGCCTGACCCCGCTCTGCTTCTGGCTCTGCCCCTCTTACTGGTTTAGCTGAAGGGTTTGTTGTTGTCAGACTTCCATGTAGTTCAATTTTCTGTGGTTTGGCTGCGTTTTGTTGCTAAAACTTTGTTGTTTTTAAACTTGGTTGTACGAGAAGGCACAGTGCTTCCACCTACGCCTCCATCTTGGCGGAAGTCCAGTAGTGATAGTTTTTTAATTTCTTTGTTCCTTAGTTCCCTCGGCCATAAAATGGGGATGATGGTCCCAACCTCATAAGGCTACTGTGAAGATAAAATGAGCTAGAACAGGGACCGGTATTTAGAAAACAACTGTTATTACCAGTGGCCCTTGAAGCTGCCATGTGCCTCTCCCACCTCTTAATCCAGAGCTATCAGCAGCCTGACCTCTCCCTCCCTCTGGGCCTACCTCTGAGAGCAAAGGTTGTGTCCTATTCCCTTCCGTTTGTCGCCTCAGCACTTAATGCAGTTCTTTGAAGTTACTGCTGAATGGATCAAATAAATTGTTCTCTCAGGAAAAGATGGAGATCCAGAGCAGCTTTACTCCAAGTCTCCAAATGCAGGCTTAAGCTGGTATGGCAGCAAAGCCTTTCCACTAAGCCCTCTGGAAGTCCTCAGCTTGATTTATTTTTGGATCGTATCTCCAGAATATGTCAAAATAGCTTCCCCTGCAGAAGGGGAAGGATTCCTATGCCCAGATCCTCAAACCAATCTGAGCCGTCACTGTGGCCTCTTCCGGCACTACATTCTTGCAACGTGTGGGGGAGGAAACATTGAAAAGAACATTTGTTTAAGTAGCAGAGTCTACTGCCTACAAATCACTTCATGGCCTCAGAGCTCCGTTGCTGTGGAGCAGATTACAGTTCTTTAGGTGAATGTCAGGATAGGGGGTCTTCTAGCAACATTCTTTTGCAGATAGGAGAGAAGCAAAGTTGGAAGAAAACAAGGACTCGTTCTAAGGCTGGCTCGGTCTGGTTTAGAAATTGGCTCCTTTGTTCTTCCAGATGGGTAATTCGTGATCCCTGACTGCCTCTGAAATCACCGAAGGCCAGTTTGGGGCAAGGTTTGGGGACAGAGATGTGAGGCTTTTGCGTGATCTTGGGGAATCACTTTACCTCTGGACTTGGTTTCTTGGTTCATCAAGCAAAGATCAGAACTAGGTGGTTTTTTAACCTGGAATTTCTGAATTTAGGTCATTCATTCTGAAAAGATGCCTTCAACTGCCGGTTCCATTCAGCATGTATGGTATTTTGAAAATTTGCCACTAGAGGCCACTGCGAATACAGTTTAGCCTTACTACGGCTTCTTTGAAAGGTAGGTCTCCTAATGCCTTCCAGGATTCTAGGCCAGGCCTGCCACCCTTGGAGGGAGAAAACCAGCCAGCCACTGCTCAGACCGCGAGGGCCCAGGGTTGAGGGGTTGAGGTGTCAGCCTGGCACTGAGCAGGCTGAGGATGGCGCTCTGCCTGCAAGTCTGACCACCCCCCTTTCCTGTCTTGGCACTGGGTGGTGGAGAAGGCTCTGCACAGTA